ACAAAAGCTGCTTTGCCATGCAGCATCTTCAGTCTATCTCCGGCCCCCTATGCCCCTTCCATCCATCTTCCCCTTCTTGCCTAACCCTGGGGCCCCCTGCTGGGACTCACAGCCATCTTGCTACTGGGACTGGGAAGGCTGAGCCCTGTGCGCCCCTGCCTGTCGTGGTTTGCCTCCAGTTTCAGCGGCTCAGCCCTTTCCCAGCGTAGGGATGGGGCGTCCTGTCCCCGTGCTCCTGGATGGCGCAGTACGGTTTACCCACTGTTGTGAGATGATGCTGTTTTCAGTGCTTGGGCTGTGTGGCCCCATGCGCACGGGGTGGGAGGGTATCTCTGGCCCTCTTTCGCTTGCCAGGCAGTACAATAAACCCCCAGGTTTTTGCTTTAGGGGGTGCTGGCTGTATCCGGAGAGACCACCTCCCCCTTGTACCCTAACTCAGACCTTGGCAGAGGACTGAGGAGAAAGCCTTGCTTCTTTTGTGATCCCTCTAAATCCAGCAGCCCGTGTCTCACCCAGGTCCTGCTGGTCAAGTGGCAGGCTGATGGCAATGCGTCCTTGCCGCTGGGGAAACTGGGAGGCCAAAGCCCTCCTCCCGCCGTGCTCTTGGGTTCCCACTTTCGGTTTGCGCTCACATCTAAGATGTCGGATTTCTCTGAGTCAGAATTATTATATCTCTCATTTATTCTCTGACCTCAAGGTCCCAAGAAAATCTATAATGAACGTTAATATCTACAATCTCCGGGTCAACCTGCATGGGACGGAGACTTGGGTTCTTCGTGGTCGAAATGGTAAAACCTGTTTGTGGTGGGTAATGTCAGGTCTCTGCCCCTTATGTCCTATCAGTCTGAAAGAATTTTCTCCCCCAGGTGAATCTAACTTTTTTGAAAAACAGATTTCTACTCTCTAGTTCCAGTGACTGGAGATAAATTACCTTGATCTGGTTTTGGAAACGATTTTTTTTTTAAATGGGCAATCTAGGCAGTCCCAAAGGCGTCAGTCAAGAGAGTGCATGCCTGCCACTCATGCCTGGGACGCACATACGCGAAGTACCTGGGCTACCGGGGTGTGTCAGACACCGAGTGCCCAGAGCCCCAGGGATCTCCTTGGCCACCCCTGTCGGTCGGGCCTGGCCCTGGTCGCTCTCTGTGCATCGAAGCCGGGCTGCCGCTCGCTCGTGAGCAAAAGCTAGGAACTCCTAGGGATTCCGGAGCCGCTCAGAGGGCGACACTGAGTTTGTCCCACGACCTCTGCGCCAGGAAGTTGTAGAAAGAGACAGACTCCAATTTTCTCCCCTTAGAGTTGAAACAAAACCTGAAAGCCCAAGGTTGCCGGCACCGCCAGAGGCAGAGGTGGCGCCTCCACGGCCGCGGCGGCCGAGCGGTGGGCGGCGAGGTTCCCAGGCCTGGTTCTTTCCTGGCTGTTGAGTTAGTTACTTAGCTGGTTAGCAGCAGCCAGCTCCAGGCAGCATTTGTGCAATCGTCGCGCCTGGTTTCTCGCTGACTCTCGGTTTCCACCAGACCCAGAGTTGCCGGGTTGGGCTCCCGAGGAGAGACTAGGGAAACTCCTGGTAATTAGAGGGGCCATTTTTCCCGGCGCCCCTCTGTGAGGTGGCCTTGACTTCTGTGGAGGAACAAAGGGCTAAGGTGTCTAGTGCCGCGCCCTCGGGCTGCCGCTGCCAGCCTTCACACCCGCTCTCTGAGCTGTGGCGCTCGGCTGGCTTTGTGCGCTGGGGCCGCGCGCTGCTGCACCTGCCCGCCTTTAAGTACCTTGGCTAGGCAGCGGTTCTAATCGCCACCTCCAAAGTACCTGCTCATGAATAAACACTAGCCTCATTTATCAGGTACTTAGCGCTCATTGTGAAGGGGAAATTGGCCCTTTTCTGCAAATGTCTATCCTCAATCCATCTGCACAGTCCTGGTGGCAGAATTTCTCCCATCCTTGTGTTACACACACACACACACACACACACACACACACACACTTGCAACATGAGGCTCCTTCAAGCTAAGATAAACTCTCTTTTCTTCCCGCAAGTGCGTGATTGAGCCGCGACAATAGGCGGAGAGGAGGAGGCCGCTGGGTCAACAGCCTGCGTCTTTCTCATTGATAGAAAAAAATCAGGGAGATGCAGGGCCATCGGAAAGCCTTGTCTTGCCTTCTGGTCACAGGGGCCTGTGGACACAAATATGTGGGTTCGCTGACCCGTGGGTCTCTAGATGTTGGACAAAATGTTGGAAATGGTGGCCCGAGGTGTCCTTGGTACCTATCAACTTGGCTGGGTGGCTGCAGCTGCATCCTCAGCTCACCCCCTTTCTTCCAGTTGAGCCCCATATCTGTGTCTGCCTCTCAAGTCTTGGGGGTAGGGCTGGAGGATGTAAAGATGCAGATGATTCTGCAAACTGCTGGGCCACTATAGGGAAAAGGGTCTCTTCTGGAACCCGCCTGAACCGAACAGCAGCTCCTGGCAGTCAAGGCTAAGTTTTCTGAGCACGCAGGGAGAGAAGGGGTTGCCGCTTAGTCGCACACCCATGGCAGCCCCACAGAGAGTACAAAAGTGGGATTAACAGGCATGAATTTATAGATTCCCCACAAAGGCACGATGGTAAATTTATAAACGCGTTAGGGTTCTGGGAGCGCGCTTCCATTCGCTCACACATTCCTTCTAACGTCTGTGCTTTCTGTGACACAGGGCGTGCGTTCCTCCGACTCTGTTCCCAGGGCGGTATTCGCCAGGAAACACAATCGATTTTCTGGACCTGTGTATGGCTATAGGCAGCACTGAAAATAAGAGTGTTTTGCTAAGTGTAGAGGTTTAGTCAATCGAACATTTAAAAATCCTTTTGTCTTCATTCAGCTCTCCCCATTTCATTCTTTGTTTTACAAATAGAAGCCCAGAGCCCCTACAGAGAGCCCAGCTCTGCCACCCAGCCTTCGCCCAAAGTGGCTCAAGGTGGTGGCTATGGGGGATTCCAGAATAAGGGAAGTTCAGGCATTTGCAGATCGGGATTTCCTAGGGTGTTCCCTTTACACTGAATGCACATGGCCTCTGAAAACCAGCCTCCAGGCTCTTGACAAAGACTGGGTAGGACCCTTGGGGTCCTGTTTTGGAGCTGGTGGGTGTGCCTGGCTTGGTTTGGGTAGACCTGCAGAGGACCAGAGTTCTCCTCACCAGGTGGGGTGGCGCACGGGTCTGAGCACCGGAACCCAAGCAGCAACTATGCGGCCACCGTTTTCTGCAGAAACTCTGGTGACCTGGAGTTCCCAGCTCCTCCCAGCCCTCATCACCATGTCCGCACCAGGCCTGAGGAGACTCTTTGTGATCCCTGGCAGCACCATCATACTGAAGGAAACAGGTTCAGCCCCATAGAAATTCATCCTAAACATAACTGCTCATTGCTGGGATGTTCTAGAGAATAATAATAATAATAATAATAATAATAATAATAATAATAATAATAAAATAAAAAGATGATCCCAGTGCTCTTTCTGAGTAACCAGATGTTATGGATGGGATGGTCCATTTGCATTAGAGCAGACCTGGCAGGGTGAAGGCAACTTCTAGAAGGGAGTTTTAAAGTAGGAGTGGCTGGAAATCCCCGTGCTATGCTTCCAGTCTCACAGGCGGCCATCGGACCCCTGTGGTTCCTGGTTTGGGAAAACCCAGGCACTTCTGCCTCAGTACTCATGGGCCACCTCCAGCCCATGTGGACCCAGGCTCGTTTTGTCTCTGCAGATTCAACCTGGGTCTTTCTAGTCCTGGAATAAGTACACCAGCAGGAGGCCTGGACCCGCAGGGAGGTCCAGGGCTAGGGGTTCTCTGCGGAGCACCCTTCAAACCCTTCTCTGTCCACACCACCTCCTCACCTCAGGTATCAGGGCTGAACTTTCCCCATCTGAAATTTTGTGTGTTTTATTTGGAGCAAAGTCTGGAACTTGAACTCACTGCTCTTGTGTGTTTGTGTTTAAAACTTTCATGGTGTGGGTGTGTGAGCTTCCTCACGAATCTGGATTTCAGGGTGTCTTGGCTGCTATGTATGGCAAGGATTTGGAGGGCCAGGAGGCGCAGGCTCAGGGGCCTCCCATCCACGGACACGGGCCAGGAAGGTGCAGCAAAAGTATGGTGGGAGCAGTGAGGGCTTCAACCTAACCCTCCCTCAGGTGCCCCCATTTTCACTAGTCTCAGCAAGTGCTTAGTTCTCTTCCCCGCTGTTGGCTGGGGCCCCAACTCAATCCAATCCAACTGTCCCCAAAAGCCAGGGCAGGTAGAATGGAGTCTAACCAGAGTATGGCAGCTCCTGAGCTTGGTTCTGGTGCAGCCAGGCCTGAGGCAAGGGGCAGCCCTTTGGAAAATGCTGGGGAGAAGGGCGGAGGTCCTGCACACTTGGCTCAAGCCTCCTGGAAGTGTGCCTGCTCCAAATGCGCAGGTCTGGGACTGGGGAGGGAGCTGTGTAGGGTCAAGCACAGAGAACTGAGAGTGCCTGAAGCTGAGATCTGGGCTCTCCCATCTCAGGCAGGGACTGCTGATAGCCCCTGGATTTGGGACCTCTCTCACTGCTTAAGACTCCCAGAGGGGGGCTGAGAACTGGGGTCCACATCCCATCTAGCCTTCTGAAGCCCCTTGGTTCCTTCAAACAATGTGACCTATATCATATGCTTCCTAAAATTTTTTTCCCCCATAGGGCCCCGGGCACTAACAATAGACCGAGAGAGAAAAAGTGAGAAATCATCCCTGAGGGTAGATGGTCATGCTGCTATCCTTCTTGGGGACTTTGCACGTGTGCACACACAACACACACACACACACACACACACACAAACTGATTCTCAAGCTGCCAGGTTAGGGACTTGGACTATGGCTGGCAATGGGGAAATCCAACACCTTCACCACCAGCTCCCTGCTTGCCCCACGTGCCTTCTTCTTCTTTTTTTTAAAGAGGTTTTTGCTATAGAGCATGCCTCATATCTTAAAGTCCTTTGCCTTTTTGCCTTTGATCCTGCAGGGGGTGGTGTTCACCACCTAAGCTCTGGAGTACCCAGGCTGGGAGGACACTGGCTGCACCCCCTTCTCCCACTGCAGACCGAGGCGGTGCTCTCTCGCTCTGCAACCAATGTAGCTCAGCCTGTGTTGCCCTCCAAAGGGGTGGCCAAGACCACTGCTGATCCTGGTGCACCGGGGGCTGTCCTCTAGAGACTTTGTGGTCCTTGCTTCTCTGTGTGGGTTGGATTAAGGGTAAGTACCTGCACTTTCTGGGGTTTCTCTCTGGAGTTTTTTAGATGCCTAGGGTCCTCCCTCACCCATTCATGGATGGAAATGCTGAGGCCAACGCTGAGGCCCACTCAGGCTCACCAGTAGTTAACCCTGAGTGTACCTACCCTGGCCTGGATGCTCTTCCTACACCCACTCCGCTGGTTCTCTGTGGGGTGCTGAGGGACAGCATTGTTCCTAAGGCCTGGAGGAAAATGGTATGGGACCCAGCCTCGTAGACCTCACACTCTCTCTGCCCAGCTGACTCTAGGCATCTCTGTTCTAGTCTGGCCTGCGGTTCCCTGGCTCCTCCCACGGCCCAAGTGAGAACCAGGGAGGGTACATTTCTGGGTGCCGGCTCCCCCGTCAAATTTGAGGGTCATGTGCACTCATCCTGCACGCTTGTTCCGTATCCTCCGGCAGAGGGCGCACCGGGCTGGAGAGGAGCACGTTTGGGCGCCTTTCCTGGGTCCCTGGAGCCACACTGTGGAAGCTCATTGGTTCAGAGCCACACCAGATGCCCCCATGTCCCAAACAAAGCTAAAAGGGCACGGCTGAAAGTAGGTGGGCAGGACAGGGGCACTGCCTATAATGGGACCTGCGAGGATGCGAGCTCTGGCAGACCCTTGGTTTGTAACCCTGAGAACATTCAAGGGAATTATTGCTTTGTGCAGCGTGTGTGTGTGTGCGTGCACGTGCGTGCATGCACGCACATCTAAGTGTGCAGAGGCAGGGAAGGGGCAGAAGGAATAGTCTCTGAGATTTGGCTCCTCCTAATTTCTTTCTGTTTTTTATGTTTATTTCTTCCATGAAAGATTCAGAAAGACGGAGCAAGACCACATCCCTAAGAGGGTCCTGATGCCATGATACACCCCTAGCCACTGCTGGTCTCAGTTACAGGCACCCAGGTGCCGGAGACATTAAGGAGGTCTCAGACTGTACCTACAACCAGGAACCCTTCCATGTGGGTCAGACTCACAAAGCTTCTGTTCTACTGCTGCCCTACCTCCTAATTTCTGAGCTGGAAATGGTTTTTTAGAATGTTTAGTCCAAGAGGCCAGCAGATGGTATAGTGGTTACATCACTGGACTCCCACATGACTGACTGCAGTTCAAGTCCCAGACCCGGTGGTTTAAAAATCACATCAGGCACATGTGCATGTGTATCCAACATCCCAAGAGGAGAATAGGGGAGCAGGGATTGTGCTGTTGCTAGGGGTGATTTCTCACTGTCCCTCTCACTGTCTCTGCCTCCCACCCTTGCAGTGAGTACATTGTACCCTACCTCTTTAAAAAAAAAGAAAAAGAAAAAAAAAGAAATGTTTAGTCCAAGCACCACTGTTAATGGCAGGAAACTGAATCCAGTGAGGAGAGGGACTTATTCAAGGTTCTGCAGCAGTTAGAAATAGAGCTGACTTTAAGTAGCACAGGGACAGGGCAGTCCCTTTGCTGTCCCGAGCCTCAGTTTCTTCCACTGTAAAACCCTGAAACTACTGGCTCTGTGATTCTAGAGGCACATCTACAAGGGTCTATGTGTATGTGTTCATGCTGGGGAGGCCGTGCATCGCCATCAGAGGAGGGATGTGACTCCATGAGTGTGCCTGTGACAGTGGGAAGAGCTGCCCGTGCAGAGGAACATGTCGGCAAATTGTGTGAAGAAGTATTTGTGCCTGTGAACGTGCGTTTGTTACGGGGGTATGTGTGGAAGAGGGAACCAGGTAATCGTGTTTGTGAATGGTGTGCATGTGTGTTAGGAAGACTGAACTGTGAGAGGCTGCACTGTGGAAAGGGGTGTGTGCGTGTGTGTGTGTGCACACCCAGGCACATATACACTGACACCTCTCCCCTCCAATGCCCTGCCTGTTTCACTGCTCCTTGAGACAGCCCTGGAGCCCATTCTCATTCCTGGGCCCCACAGAAAGGAGCAAGGGGGTGAAAGAGCCGAGCATGCAGGCTCCAGGGTGTGGCCTTGCCCAATACCCAGCAGGCTCTAAGGGACCGCAATTAGGCCAAGCTTCTCCTGGGCTGCAGAGGGAGGGAGGCAGGGAGGAGGAGGAGGATTAAGGCAAATTCATTTCTGTTTTCCAGCCCACTAAGCCTGCAGTGTGTCCCTGGTGTTAGCATGAGAATGGGCCAGGACTCTGTAAACCCCCCCACCCCCCGACCTACTGACCTCTCTCCCCTCAACCTGAATAGCGGGACTCACAGCCTCCTCAGCCTCTCCAACCAGTGCCTGCACAGCCCCGACTCCTAATCAGGGTAATTTAATATATTTTAAGCCCCCGGCGGCTTTATTTTCCCTCCTTTTCGAGTTTGTTTTAGGCATTCGCAGCTCTCACCCCATCATTAGCCGGCCTTATTTGACGGATGGAAGGAGCTGCTATGAGACCACAGCCCTTTGTGTCCCCGACATAAGCTGGGCTTCCCCGTAATTAGAATGGTATTCCCAGCCATTGAGGCCTTTCAGGAGGCGGAACAAAAACTCCCCGAGATGAATATCCCCCAACTCTCAGCCCCCTGGCCAGGAAAGGGGATGTGAGTTAAAGGGACTCCTTGGGGGAGACAGTCTGTGAGCAAGGAGAGCAGTGGTTCCACCAGGGTGAGGCGTTTAGAGGCCCTGGGTAATGGGCACCAGACAAAGGCTCATCAAGGTTGCTGGTAAGCCACGTGTCACCTGCACACTGCCAGGCACTCAGCCAGCCTCAGGACCCATCTGCACTTGGCCTCTGCAGTCAGAGGACCTGCACATGTCCGTGGGGTTCAGTCATATGGAACCAAGCTGGGGTATGCATGTAAAACACAAACAGAGCCATCCAGACTCTGGCTCAAATGTGGCTTTGCATCTAAACACACAAACACACACAGGCTTGGGATTCCATTGTAAACACACATGCACATACATGTGTACATGTATGCATGCATGCTCAGCCACAAAAATCACAGTGACACATTACCAGAGTGGGAAGAACTTATGAATATACACAGGTACTACACACTGTCACCCAGACATAGAACCAACTGCAGTTTGTCTTTGTACCTGTGTGTACACACATATAAACACATGTGCTCGTTACCCAGACTGGATGAACACACTCACACTCCTGCATGCTCACATATGCACATAGATCCTTAGGGTCATCCAGACCCCAGTTCTGTGGCTACAGGGAATTCACCAGCATACACTGCCTGTGATCATGCCCTCCCCTCAGCTTACATACTTGCTTCTGGCCACATGTCTGGGTCTGAGCATATCCTGTGTTCGAATACAGACATTGACACACACATGCATGGATGGACATGTGCACATCCTCTGGCTCACTCTGACAGGGGAAAACTCGGAAAAGTACCATGGAAGCAACATACCATTACAGAGTTTCTGCATTTGCATTTCTGGGCTGGCATCTCCCCAACGCTCACGACTAGACACTCAGGAGGATCTCGAGGATAAGCCTCCTCCCACCAGCTGATGCTGTGCTCTGAACTCAGCCTCCAGGTTGACCCTCTTCAGGTAGATTTCCCATTCCCTTTGGAAACAAGCCATCTCCCTTTTCTAGATTTCCCCTTTGGACCAAGCCCCAAGCACAGAAGGCAGGTGCATGGCTGTCTGGTACAACTGGCAGCTTTTCTCATGACTCAAGAACATTTCTAGTAGGGCTAGAAACCTGGAGAAGAAAGAACCCAACCTTCTAACTGAAACATAGGGGAGCAGTTCTGTGGACAAGTAGGGAGTGTCCCATCTCCAGGAGGATTCACCTGGCAGGGTGATCACCAGTCAGGGATGCTTTGGGGAATTTCATTTACTTAATTCCCCTCCTACTCTAAGTCAGACTCAGTGCTCAGAGATTAGAGTATAGTTGGTGAACAAGCCTGTCTCCAAAGGAACTGAGAGTCTTCAAAGGGTAGACTAGGCACACACAATTAATGCATGGGCCTGGCGAAGGACACAGGGATGAGGCAGGAGCTGAGTGGAAAGTGGCACAATGGGTCTCTGGTTTCCACATGGGAAGGTTACTGTCAGGGACTGGAGTGGGCCATTTAGCATCCTGCGACCAAGACTCAGTTGTGGTACCTTGTAAGTCCCCATGGTGGAAAAATGATGGATTGACTGGCCTCTAAGGCCTCTCTAAAATTCCTGGACTCTTGTTCTGGGTCCAAGGCCTTCACACTGTAGCACCCTTTCCCAGGTAGATGGCCTCTCCCTAACTCGGTCTGCACAGGGCATCTTTATCACAGCACTGTGGCCCACATCAAAGCTGTGCCCTGGCCCTTGGGTCAAAGAGTGGCCTGCAGGAACAAGGGCGAGGCCCATAGTGTGTGATAAATCCACTTTGAGATGGAGTGAGGGTGTCAAAGATGAGGGTCAGACTCCTTCCTTTATGGTTCCTGGCTTCTTCTGAGTGAATAACAGTTATTTTTTGCTATAGAGTACATGTTCTCACTGAAGAGAGACAGAGAGAAAGGGAAAGGGAAAAATCATCCCTCAGGGGAATGGCCATGCTGCAATCTCTTCTTTTCTTTTCTTTTTTTGAGAGGTTTTTGTTATAGGGCATGTGCACTCGCCAGAGAGACAGAGAGATAGAAAGCAAGAAATCACCCCCCAGGGGGGATGGCCACGCCACAATCCCTTCTCCTCCATTCTCCTCTTGGGATCTTGGGCACGCATGAACATGCGCCCAGGATGAGTTTAAGCCACTGGGTCCAGGACTAGAACCACAGTCGACTACATGGGAGTCCAGCGACATAGCCATTATGCTAACTGCTGGTCGCAGCTGCAATCCTTATTCATTCTCCTCTTGGGATTTTGTGCACACATGCACTCAGCATGTTTGTCAAGTTGCCGGATCTGAGACACCAACCACAGAGTCAGCCATATGGGATCCAGGGCCTTAACTACCACACCACCTCTGGCCCCAGTCCACTGAATTTTTTTTTAAAAGAATTATTTAACTTTATCTGTCTATATATCTACCTATCTTTAGTTTGACC